TAATGTATGTATGTATGTATGTATGTATGTATGTATGTATGTATGTATGTATGTATGTATGTATGTATGTATGTATGTAATGTATATATGTATGTATGTAATGTAATGTAATGTAATGTAATGTAATGTAATGTAATGTAATGTAATGTAATGTAATGTAATGTAATGTAATGTAATGTAATGTAATTTAAAGTAATGTAATGTAATGTAATGTAATGTAATGTAATGTAATGTAATGTAATGTAATGTAATGTAAGTATGTATGTATGTATGTATGTATGTATGTAATGTATGTATGTATGTATGTATGTATGTATGTATGTATGTATGTATGTATGTATGTATGTATGTATGTATGTATGTATGTATGTATGTATGTATGTATGTATGTAAGTTATGTATGTATGTATGTATGTATGTATGTATGTATGTATGTATGTATGTATGTATGTATGTTATTTATGTATGTATGTATGTATGTATGTATGTATGTAATGTATGTATGTATGTATGTATGTATGTATGTATGTATGTATGTATGTATGTATGTATGTATGTATGTATGTATGTATGTATGTATGTATGTATGTATGTATGTATGTATGTATGTATGTATGTATGTATGTATGTATGTATGTATGATGTAATGTATGTATGTATGTATGTATGTATGTATGTATGTATGTATGTATGTATGTATGTATGTATGTATGTATGTATGTATGTATGTATGTAATGTAATGTAATGTAATGTAATGTAATGTAATGTAATGTAATGATGTATGTATGTATGTATGTATGTATGTATGTATGTATGTATGTATGTATGTATGTAATGTAATGTAATGTAATGTAATGTAATGTAATGTAATGTAATGTAATGTAATGTAATGTAATGTAATGTAATGTAATGTAATGTAATGTAATGTAATGTAATGGTATGTATGTATGTATGTATGTATGTATGTATGTATGTATGTATGTATGTATGTATGTATGTATGTATGTATGTATGTATGTAATGTTTGTATGTATGTATGTATGTATGTATGTATGTATGTATGTATGTATGTATGTATGTATGTATGTATGTATGTATGTAATTATATGTATGTAATGTATGTATGTATGTATGTATGTATGTATGTATGTATGTATGTATGTATGTATGTATGTATGTATGTATGTATGTATGTATGTATGTATGTATGTAATTATGTATGTATGTATGTATGTATGTATGTATGTATGTATGTATGTATGTATGTATGTATGTATGTAATGTATGTATGTATGTATGTATGTATGCATGTAATGTATGTATGTATGTATGTATGTATGTATGTATGTATGTATGTATGTATGTATGTATGGATGTATGTATGTATGTATGTATGTATGTATGTATGTATGTATGTATGTATGTATGTATGTATGTATGTATGTATGTATGTATGTATGTATGTTATGTATGTAATGTGTGTAATGTATGTAATGTAAGGTAATGTATGTATGTATGTAATGTATGTATGTATGTATGTATGTAATGTATGTATGTATGTATGTATGTATGTATGTATGTATGTATGTATGTAATGTATGTATGTATGTATGTAATGTAATGTAATGTAATGTAATGTAATGTAATGTAATGTAATGTAATGTAATGTAATGTAATGTATTGTAATGTAATGTAATGTATGTATGTATGTATGTATGTATGTATGTATGTATGTATGTATGTATGTATGTATGTATGTATGTATGTATGTATGTATGTATGTTATGTAATGTATGTATGTATGTATGTATGTATGTATGTATGTATGTATGTATGTATGTATGTATGTATGTATGTAATGTATGTATGTTGTATGTAATGTATGTATGTATGTATGTATGTATGTATGTATGTATGTATGTATGTATGTATGTATGTATGTATGTATGTATATAATGTATGTATGTATGTATGTATGTATGTATGTATGTATGTATGTAATGTAATGTAATGTAATGTATGTATGTATGTATGTATGTAATGTAATGTAATGTAATGTAATGTAATGTAATGTAATGTAATGTAATGTAATGTGATGTATGTATGTATGTATGTATGTATGTATGTATGTAATGTATGTATGTATGTATGTATGTATGTATGTATGTATGTATGTATGTATGTATGTATGTATGTATGTAACGTAATGTATGTATGTATGTATGTATGTATGTATGTATGTATGTATGTATGTATGTATGTATGTATGTATGTATGTATGTATGTATGTATGTAATTAATGTATGTATGTATGTATGTATGTATGTATGTATGTATGTATGTATGTATGTATGTATGTATGTATGTAATGTATGCATGTAATGTATGTATGTATGTATGTATGTATGTATGTATGTATGTATGTATGTATGTATGTATGTATGTATGTATGTATGTATGTAATGTATGTATGTAATTAATGTAATGTATGTATGTATGTATGTATGTATGTATGTATGTATGTATGTATGTATGTATGTATGATGTATGTAATGTATGTATGTATGTATGTATGTATGTATGTATGTATGTATGTATGTATGTATGTATGTATGTATGTATGTATGTATGTATGTATGTATGTATGTATGTATGTAATGTATGTATGTATGTATGTATGTATGTATGTAATGTAATGTAATGTAATGTGATGTAATGTAATGTAATGTATGTATGTATGTATGTATGTATGTATGTATGTATGTATGTATGTATGTATGTATGTATGTATGTATGTATGTATAATGTATGTATGTATGTATGTATGTATGTATGTATGTATGTATGTATGTAATGTATGTATGTATGTATGTATGTATGTATGTATGTATGTATGTATGTATGTATGTATGTATGTATGTATGTAATTTATGTAATTAATGTATGTATGTATGTATGTATGTATGTATGTATGTATGTATGTATGTATGTATGTATGTATGTATGTATGTATGTTATGTATGTATGTTATGTATGTATGTATGATATGTATGTATGTATGTATGTATGTATGTATGTATGTATGTATGTAATGTATGTAATGTATGTATGTATGTATGTATGTATGTATGTATGTATGTAATGTAATGTAATGTAATGTAATGTATGTATGTATGTATGTATGTATGTATGTATGTATGTATGTATGTATGTATGTATGTAATGTATGTATGTACGTATGTATGTATGTATGTATGTATGTATGTATGTATGTATGTATGTAATGTATGTATGTATGTATGTATGTATGTATGTATGTATGTATGTAATGTATGTATGTATTTATGTATGTATGTATGTATGTATGTATGTATGTATGTATGTATGTATGTATGTATGTATGTATGTATGTATGTATGTATGTATGTATGTATGTATTTATGTAATGTATGTAATGTATGTATGTATGTATGTATGTATGTATGTATGTATGTATGTATGTATGTATGTATGTATGTATGTATGGTAATGTAATGTAATGTAATGTAATGTAATGTAATGTAATGTATGTATGTATGTATGTATGTATGTATGTATGTATGTATGTATGTATGTATGTATGTATGTATGTATGTAATGTATGTAATGTATGTATATATGTATGTATGTATAGTATGTATGTTATGGTATGTATGTAATGTATGTATGTATGTATGTATGTATGTATGTATGTATGTATGTATGTATGTATGTATGTATGTATGTATGTATGTATATATGTATGTAATGTATGTATGTATGTATGTATGTATGTATGTATGTATGTATGTATGTATGTATGTATGTATGTATGTATGTATGTATGTATGTATGTATGTATGAAGTATGTATGTATGTATGTATGTATGTATGTATGTATGTATGTATGTATGTATGTATGTATGTATGTATGTATGTATGTATGTATGTATGTATGTATGTATGTATGTATGTATGTATGTATGTATGTATGTATGTATGTATGTTATGTATGTAATGTAATGTAATGTATGTATGTAATGTAATGTAATGTAATGTAATGTAATGTAATGTAATGTAATGTAATGTAATGTAATGTAATGTATGTATGTATGTATGTATGTATGTAATGTATGTATGTATGTATTTATGTATGTATGTATGTATGTATGTATGTATGTATGTGTGTATGGTGTGGTATGGTATGGTATGGTATGGTATGGTATGGTATGCATGTATGTATGTATAAATGATTGCATGTTTGTATGTATGTAATGTATGTAATTTAGTGTAGTGCAATGTAATGTATTGATATGTGATGTAATGTAACGTAACGTAATGTAATGTAATGTAATGTCTGTATGTATGTATGCAGCTATGCATCTATGCATCTTTGCATCTTTGCATCTTTGCGCTTGCCATGCCTGCCTGTCCGTCTGGTTTGGTCTTGTCTTGTCTTGTCTTGTCTTGTTTGGTCTTGTCTTGTTTTGTCTTGTTTTGTCTTGTCTTGTCTTGTCTTGTCTTGTCTTGTCCTGTCTGTCTGTCTGTCTGCGCGTGTGTGCTGTGCTGTGCTGTAGTGTGCTGCATGTATGGTGTGTTCAATTCGTCCCACCCCAGTTTTTTTCCTTGGGCCGCCTTCAAGAGAAGCACTCGACCGTCAGTTCTCAGAGCCGTTTGTTCAGAACCGTATCGACCAGAAAGCTTCCGCGGGATTCAGGATTTTTGCGGGTTGGTTTAAAGAGACACCATAGGGAAGCCGAACCGTGTTCTGGAAGGACAACCCAACCGAGAATTGTTGGCTTCAGCCCTACTACTGGCGTCAAACGGGGTGACGGGTTCGTATTCTAGGGCTTGGTCCCCCTTTCTGTTCCATGTACGTACGTTATGTGCAACATATGTGTTTTATTAGTGTATATATATATATGTATTGATTGTAAAAAGCAGGGTGCTGGGGAGGCCCAGTGCTAGGTGGGGTGCTCAGGAGCTGCTGGGTGAGCGCGAGGCCGCCTGCGAGCGCCTGCGCTTCGGCGCCGCGCGCGCCAAGCGCGCCGCAGCCTCCGCCGCCGCGGCGGCGGCGGCGGGGCGCCAGGAGCTGCGGCGCCGCCGGGACGGCAGCGAGCGAGCGGAGCGGGGTGCAAGGAACGCGCTGGAAACTGTCCTTGACACAGTCTCAAAGGCTTGGCTGGAGGAAACATGATCTTGACTTCATGTCCGTGGTGAGCCATGGTTAGGTTCAATTCTATCCGTTCATGCTCACAGGGGCTTCAAGCCGAGCTGTTTGTGGTCAGAGTGGAGGTCTGAGGCAACTGGGATTGACCTAGGCATCCCTTGAAGGGCCAACTATGAAGCACCTGTCGAAATTGCTGCTGTGTGTGGCATTCGGCGTTGCCTTGATGTTGAGGAAATGCACAACACCATGGCCAGCGAAGGGGATTCACGGAAAAGGGCGATTCCCCCATTCATCAAGTTAGAGGATTGGAAAACGAACTGGGACACAAAACAACTAGAAGATGGCAACCGCGCTTCAAATGTAAAGGCCATGAGATGGTTTGGCCAGTTCAGTGGACTCCAGCTGGGCAAACCAGTCAGAACCGGCTTCTGGGCAGGGCAGCTGGTGTGTTTAAGGTTTTCGGGTGGTTGGACGTGGTGCCCGGCTGCATGGACCCTTTGGATTCAGCACGCCTAGCACGCTCAGGGCTGGAGGCTTACGAGGACGTCACCTCCGAGCTGCGGGCCCTGCAGAAGCAGCGAGGAGCAGCGCTGACCGAGCCGGTGGACCAGGTTTTAGCTTTTTTGTTTCTGGGTGTTCTGATTGTGTGTAATTGCCGAGCTTGAGCTCCAGGTTTTGAAGTCTTGAAACCTTGGAAGGCCCTCGGAATCAGCCGCATGCGCCGCGGTTTTCGCGTGTTTTGGCACCAGAGCGCTTCGCCAGGGCAGGTGGAGGCGGAGGAAGCCCGAGCGGCACAGGAGCTCTCCGAGCGAGCGGCCCAGGCCCAGGCCGCACAGCCGAGCCAGAGCGGACCCCCAAAGTGGTGGACCACCCCGAAAAATGCCGGACACACACACACACACACACACACACACACACACACACACACACACACACACACACACACACACACACACACACACACACACACGACCCCACTGAAATTCCAAGCCGGTAATTTTCCTCTTGCCAACCAAACAGGGTTTCCCTAAACGACAACCCTAAGCCAAGTCGAACTGCATTGCCCTATAAGCTCGCTCGCAAGTGTCATCAGCTCAACGGATTCCGGCCGCATGTCCCCTCGAGCATGGGTCCTTGCTAGTTCCATTTTTCCTGCAGGAAAGATTAGAAAAGTGGAATTGCGGGACTCGCCGCATTCCTCCCATAAAGGTGGGGAGGTTGTGCAGCTTGTTGACCAATCTCAGACCATTCCGCCACAGTTTGGCGCCGCTTGGCGTGGATGTGGGTCGTGAAGTGGCCGGGAAAGTACTTGAGGGTTCTTGTTGAAGAGCAGTGCTGTCAAAAGTCAACACTTTGGTGTTTGCATTCGGCACGAGGCGGGATTCCACAAGAACCAAGTGAATCCTACTGTCCCAAGTACAGTTGATGTTGTTCCTGACGCTCGAAAGTTTCTAGATTGCGCCAGCGCAATGCTGAGTCGGCTTGGGGCCCAGTAAGACGTTCTTCCGCGCTGCAGCTATCGCACGTCACACGCCACCCCAGCGCGCCGGAGTGATGGCTGGCAGCCACCGCGCGAAGGCTTTGAGCGCCGTCATGCTGCGGCAGACCCCCTTCAGTCTTCGCCGCGTTGCGCGAAGGGCGGCCAGATAGACGTAGACTTAGCACGCTTGTCATTTAGCACGTCCTACTTTCATCTTCCACAAACCCCAGGTGGGTGTGGCTCAAAATTAACCAGCCAGGGTTACGCAGGTTTCAAGGTCTCATTTTGGTGACGTGTTTTTGAGCAGCCAGGTGGCGCTTTCTGCGTGTAGCCGCCACTCGCACCGTCCCTGTGGTGCGTGAAGCCCTGGCAGGCGCTCGCTGCACGCCTGGGCCCGGGCCCTGGACGGCGTGCGGGGCGATGGGAGCACTTGGAGCTGCTGGAAGCCAGGCCGGGAGACTTGGGCCGGCGATTTGCTGCTGGGGAGCTTTGGACTTGAACCGGGGATTTTGACTGAAAAAAAAAGGGGGGGATTTATTTTGACTCTCCATTGGAGCCACACAAAGCGAGTCACTATGTTTGATTGAAACAGGGGGAGCTTCCATTGGAGCCACACAAAGTGAGTCAGTTGTTGCGGAGGGGCCGTTTTAGCGACCAAGGAAAGGAGAATGCCAAATCCACAGGCGACGTGCCTTGATTTCTGAGACTCCGGGGGGACTGTTTGGTTGAGCGTAGCTGTGCTTGAGTACGTGCTTGTTTCTAAATGTCATGGCTTCCGCTGACGCAAGTGGCTCTGTAGCAAAGGACGCACGTAAACATGGAACTGCCGTAGTCAAGAATGACAGTTTGAGAAATTGTTCCAAGTTTTGACACAGGTTTGGTTGGTCGGTCAGTGGCTTGGTTGGTTGGTTTGGTTTGCTTTGGTTTGGTTTGGTTTGGTTTGGCTGGCTGGCTGGCTGGCTGGCTGGCTGGCTGGTTGGTTGGTTGGTTGGTTGGTTGGCGAGTGGAATCAGCTTGTAGCTTGTAGAATTTGTACATGTCCAGAGGACCGCCTCCGACCAGGTGTGCCGGGGACAAGCTTGCGCTACAGCAGAGCCATGCAAAGGAGATCTCTTCTGTGAAGCAGCAGGAGGAAGCTCGCGTGCAGGCCATGGAAGCTGCGAAGGACAGGGCTTTGCAAGACAAGTTCAGAAAGTTCAAGGCGCATGCAGGGTTTTGCTTTGGCTTCTGCGACTTGGCAGGAGAGAGAAAGCACAAAGATTGCTTCGGAGTATGCTGAGGAGGCTTGAAGGGAATGGTGCTCCTGCGCAAGGCTTATTTAATGATGCAGTGATGCAATGGGTTTCACTGTTTGAAGTGGAACATACTGCCTAGGGATTAAACACCCTACTTCACAAGTCGCTTGGGAAGGCCGCTACTCAAAGCCTTGCCTGCCATATCCCCAAGCGCAGGGTTTTTCGTGCCGGGTCTGGTGGGCGAGTCAGTCACGGCCTTTCACTGGTAGAGTTCCCTTGAAGTCTTGGCTCTCTCAATCGCAGGGAGCATATTTTGGCCAATTGGTCTTTTCGGAAGCGAGGCTAGAGCCGCCGAATGTGCAGGTTTTGTTTATTAGGTCGTGTTTCTTGGGGTTGGCCCCAACCCTGACCCTTCTCCCTTTTAGAGAGAGAGAGACTTATACAAGTGAGTTGATGCTTGGACCTTTGTGGTTTAAGCATGCTTTAGTTTGGAGTCATTGACGGACTTCTTCTTTCCACCACTACCAGAAACTACTATACCTCTTTATTCCGGGTTGTCCTGTTTGAAGGACGTCAGCCTATCAGCCCAACGAGCGGACAAGAAAGAAATGTGTGTCCACCTTCCTTGCCCTCACGAGAGGATCCGCATGTGATTTAGACCATCTCCACATCAAGCTGGAAACCCGACCCTGAGTAGTGAGGGCCTTTGACCTTAAAAGGCCTCAACGAATGAGGTATATAGGGCAAGAAGCAAACCGGACTCGGGTGGCCCCACCAAGTAACATGGAACCTGACAGTGGGAGGGTACCTTCTTGTGGTCTTCCTGGTGCTTCCGAAAAACCGCAGGCCAGCGAGCTCCGGGCCTCCGCCGCGCAGCTGGCGCAGCAGTCGGAGGACTCCGCGGCGGAGCTGGCGGCGCAGGAGCTGGCGGCCAGGCGCGGGGAGGTGGCGTCGGGGAGGTGGAGGCGACCGGCCTGCGGCGTGTCTCGAATCTGGCAGAGGGTCAATTGAAAAGTATGGGGTTTTCTGACAACCCCATTTGAGCAGCGCCAGAAACCCTGACAATACAAAGTAGTAAAGGGGGGTGTCCTATAGAATCCCCGTGAAAGCCAAAACGCAGGCCGCGAAAGCTTGCGAAAGCTTATCGCGAAAGTAACCAAAGAAAGTCCCGCCGCGAAAGACCCGCGAACGCCTGCATGCTGTGTGACGCTCCGCCGCGAAAGCGTCGCGAAAGCAATTCTAAAGAAACCAAAGCCCGCGAAAGCAAAACATGGGGTCGCGAAAGCATCGCGAAAGGGTCCGCGAAAGCAAGTTTATAGGACCGCTTTTTACACAAGAGTATTTGGCACGGCTCATTTGTTTGTAGTTCCTCAAAGCTTCCTGCGATGACTTGTAACTTTTAGCCAGGCGCGTACCTTTGTCCCATCCAGTGTTGTCAGTGAATCGGCAGGGAGCATTTGGTATGAGGCTGATCCATCTCCAAAACGCTTGGGTGTTGGTCTGTTTCTGATGATCCTTTCAGGCAAATCTTGGGGTGCGTTGGTTTTGGCGGCTTTCATGCGAAACCAGTGAGGACGCCCACCCCATTTTCGGTTTTCGGGGGTCCCCTCGAGTTTCGGCCCCCCCCCCTCCCCCCCCCGTTTTGGGGGGAGGGGGGTAGACTCGCCGGGGCTTCGAATGCTTTTCGAGTTCAGGCTGCGAGAGGGCGCCGCTCTGCGGGGCCTTTGTGACAAAGCCCAACAGGAGGTCGCAGAGCGCCAGCCTGAGGTGATCTGAAAGCGGTGTTGGGTTTCAAGGGCAAGTAAAAAACAGGAAAAAAAAAACCGCATGGCTTGGAGGTTGACCGGTTCCCCAACCGCGACGAGGATTGATATAAGCAACTGCCAAATATGACTGTCAGTCTCCTGTATGGGTAGGACATTGGGGGAAGCAAATCTCCCACAACAGCCTGGGGAACCATCTCCATATCGCTCATGTCGTTCTACAAAACGAGTATAGCTTTGTCCGGTCTCAAATAGGTGACGGTTTTTGAGGTTCGGCTTTGTTGGAGACCAATACTTGCTGGTGTTCATCCCTTCATCCCTTCCCGCATTCCCTGAGCAGCAAAATGTTCAGCCTGAGAGAAGCACCTTCCCGCCAAGGCTCTCCTCGGAGCTGCGAGACTTCGTGGACGGGGTGGAGAACCTCGAGGCGGGCGTCCGAGAAGCGCGAGGTGCGGGTTGATCGACGGGTATGTCACTAGGTCCC